CCCCCCTCCCTCCCGAGTGCACAAATTTTTGTGCACCGGGCCTCTTGTTTAGAGAATAAAGGGCTACCCCATTAAATAACTGAATCTGGCAACATTTGAAGAAGTGTTAGGAATTTTACTTGTAGATGGATGGAGCTAGAATGGTGGAACTAGAAGTTTCAAATCTTATAGGTGAGCATTCATCTAAAACTAATTTCTTGATTAGTCAAAGAACATATATACATAGCCCATGGATACAGACAACAGTATGGTGATGGCCAGAGAGAGGAGGGTGTGCGGTCTGAGCTGGGTGGAGGTGGGTAAAGGGGGGAATGAGTACATCTGTAATAGTGTCAACAATAAATAAAATAAAACTAGTTTCTTGGCTCTCAACTTGATGCTCTTTCTACTACACTCCCATGTATCTGTCTCAGGAAGTATTTTTTATTGATTCATGCATCACTTTGATTTTTAGGAAGAAACACATATGGTGTTTGAATAATTGTGGTGTGATTGTATTAATTTGAATTGTATTATTTATACACTATGACTAAATTCTTCTTAAGGTCTTTAGCATGCCATGCCTTAACCTGTCATAGGATGTGATATAAATGCCAGAAATCCTCTTTTAAATAAAAATGTAGATTTACAGGGAGTTTCTAGAATGAATGTAATTTACCCAGACCAATTTAATATTCAGAATATACTGCCCAGTGGCCTTTACCCTTGTGCTTTCTGTGGACATAGGTCCAGGTTCATAAGAGCTCACTTGGTGATGCTTTTCAATCTAACACCGCTGGGTGGTACCTGACTAAGGATCCCCCAGAACTCACTCGTCCATACGCACTAAGCGGAGATCTCTATTCAAGGTTTCGATGGTCTTCATTTCTTCCGTAGTGAGAGAAAAGTCAAAGATCTGAAATAACAGAAATAAAAGACAGATGTTTAAAAAGATAGAAAATGGGTCAAGCTTGGGATTATGGAGTGGGTCCAGCAATTGGAAACCTTCTAAGATTTATGAACATCTCTGAAAATGTCTAAGAGGAGTTGGTGTAGTGCTGGGGGTCCACCTAATGGAAGTGGAGCAGGAATTCTCTTCTGCTTCTTTGTCTTAAGATAATTCTGCTAGGGACATCTTACAAAAAATTTTAAATGCTGTGAAACAGTGTATGTTCAGGACATCTGAAGAATTCTTATTATTTCTGGATAAGATGCTGAACTTTTGATTCTGGACTTGAGTCTGTGTACACTAAAAAAATATTCCCTTATCTCTAAATTTTCTTTTGTACTTTCAAAAAACGTTTGTTTTGTCCTTTTAATCACTTCTCTCATTATTTAAAAAATACTCCTATTGATTTCAAAAAGGAAGGGAGGGGGAAGTAGAGAAATATCAATGATGAAAGAGACTCATTGATTGGCTGCCTCCTGCATGCTCTGCAGTGGTGATTGAGCCCGCAACACAGGCATGTGCCCTGACTGGAATCCAGTTGTGACCTTCTGGTTCAGAGGTTGATGCTCAATCACTGAGCCACACTGGCGGGGCTGAACAGTAAAGTTTTGAATCCATGAACACTTTTGTTTCAGATACCTCAAAATTTGTAGTTTTTGTTGTTGTTTTTTGTTAATCCTCATCCGAGGATATTTTTCTATTGATTTTTAGAGAGAGTGGAAAGGAAGGGGAGAGAAAGAGAGAAACATCGATGTGAGAGAGACACATCAATTGGTTGCCTTCACATGAGCCCCTGACCAGAGCCGGGAATCAAGCTCTTGACCGGAATCAAACCTGGGACCCTTCCGTCCCCAGGCTGATGCTCAATCCATTGAGCCAAACCAGCCAGGGCATAATTTGTAGTTGTTTTTTAAAAATATTTTTGATGAGCCTACACATTAGTCATGCAGTGGCTCTCTCTTTTAAGATGGCTAAAAACAGTGTCTATGACTTTTACTGTGAGTTATTTGGGAAAGTGTTAAAATACTGTCGGTAGTTGATATTACTGTCTAGTATTCTTTCTTCTCTTGGCTAATAACAGAATCCCACTTTTTCCTTTTATGAACTTCCCTTCCACCATCTAGTTGGGCTGTTTGTCACATGACCTCAACTCCAGCATTGGAATAGGGATGACTGTCTACTTAAGGATTAATGCAGCTGGTGACCTTAAGTTGAAGCAAACGGTCATTTACCGTTTTGAAAAACTAGAATTTTAAGTATTATGCTAAATCTACTCTGGAAAAACAAAGCTGGGATGATATCATGATTTGCTGAATGTTTTGAGCCCACTGATGACATCTACTGTTCAGAAAAACAATAAATTTATTTCAAAATATGACAATGTACCCAGTCACTCAAGAACTCTGATGGAGATGTACAATGAGATTAATGTTTTCAGGCCTGCTAACACAACATCCATTCTGCAGCTTATGGGTCCAGGAGTAATTTTGACTTTCAAATCTTATTATTTAAGAAACTAGTGGCGCGGTGCACGAAATTCGTGCATGGGGGAGGGTGTGTTCCTCAGCCTGGCCTGCATCCTCTGCAATTTGGGACCCCTCGAAGGATGTCCTACTGCTAGTTTACAGGGATCGTGCCTAAACCAGCAGTTGGACATCCCTCTTGCAATCCGGGACTGCTGGCTTTTAACCGCTCACCTGCCTGCCTGCCTGCCTGATTGCCTGGAACCACTCTGCCTGCCGGCCTGCTCACCCCCAACTGCCACCCCCCACCCCACTGCCGGCCTGCTTGTCCCCAAATCCACCTTCCCCGCCAGCCTGATCACCCCAAACTGCCCCCCCCCAGCTGGCCTGTTCGCCCCTACCTTCCCTCGCCAAAGGCCTGCTAATACCCAACTCTTCCCCTGCTGCCCTGCTCACTCCAAACTGCTCCCCCCCCCCCCCCCCC